TGGATGCAATAATCGCATGCCAATGTGCATTGGCTCGTTTAGTTTACACTCGAAGTAGATTGGTCCCTCTAAGCGAGATCCCAATTTCGTCGGTCATCCGACGTGACGTCGAGAGTGACCGACTGAAAGGGAACGTCTCGGTTACGTATGGTAACCCTCGTTCCCTGAAGGAGGGAACGGAGACGTCACGTCCCGTCGCCACAGCTCCTGTACCACCGCTGAGCGGCCGGGTCACCGGCTCGGCTCCTCAGCGAAAACCTGAATATGCGCTGCATCTGCTGCCTACTTATACTCACGCTGTGATCAGCAGCAGCTGGATGCAATAATCGCATGCCAATGTGCATTGGCTCGTTTAGTTTACACTCGAAGTAGATTGGTCCCTCTAAGCGAGATCCCAATTTCGTCGGTCATCCGACGTGACGTCGAGAGTGACCGACTGAAAGGGAACGTCTCGGTTACGTATGGTAACCCTCGTTCCCTGAAGGAGGGAACGGAGACGTCACGTCCCGTCGCCACAGCTCCTGTACCACCGCTGAGCGGCCGGGTCACCGGCTCGGCTCCTCAGCGAAAACCTGAATATGCGCTGCATCTGCTGCCTACTTATACTCACGCTGTGATCAGCAGCAGCTGGATGCAATAATCGCATGCCAATGTGCATTGGCTCGTTTAGTTTACACTCGAAGTAGATTGGTCCCTCTAAGCGAGATCCCAATTTCGTCGGTCATCCGACGTGACGTCGAGAGTGACCGACTGAAAGGGAACGTCTCGGTTACGTATGGTAACCCTCGTTCCCTGAAGGAGGGAACGGAGACGTCACGTCCCGTCGCCACAGCTCCTGTACCACCGCTGAGCGGCCGGGTCACCGGCTCGGCTCCTCAGCGAAAACCTGAATATGCGCTGCATCTGCTGCCTACTTATACTCACGCTGTGATCAGCAGCAGCTGGATGCAATAATCGCATGCCAATGTGCATTGGCTCGTTTAGTTTACACTCGAAGTAGATTGGTCCCTCTAAGCGAGATCCCAATTTCGTCGGTCATCCGACGTGACGTCGAGAGTGACCGACTGAAAGGGAACGTCTCGGTTACGTATGGTAACCCTCGTTCCCTGAAGGAGGGAACGGAGACGTCACGTCCCGTCGCCACAGCTCCTGTACCACCGCTGAGCGGCCGGGTCACCGGCTCGGCTCCTCAGCGAAAACCTGAATATGCGCTGCATCTGCTGCCTACTTATACTCACGCTGTGATCAGCAGCAGCTGGATGCAATAATCGCATGCCAATGTGCATTGGCTCGTTTAGTTTACACTCGAAGTAGATTGGTCCCTCTAAGCGAGATCCCAATTTCGTCGGTCATCCGACGTGACGTCGAGAGTGACCGACTGAAAGGGAACGTCTCGGTTACGTATGGTAACCCTCGTTCCCTGAAGGAGGGAACGGAGACGTCACGTCCCGTCGCCACAGCTCCTGTACCACCGCTGAGCGGCCGGGTCACCGGCTCGGCTCCTCAGCGAAAACCTGAATATGCGCTGCATCTGCTGCCTACTTATACTCACGCTGTGATCAGCAGCAGCTGGATGCAATAATCGCATGCCAATGTGCATTGGCTCGTTTAGTTTACACTCGAAGTAGATTGGTCCCTCTAAGCGAGATCCCAATTTCGTCGGTCATCCGACGTGACGTCGAGAGTGACCGACTGAAAGGGAACGTCTCGGTTACGTATGGTAACCCTCGTTCCCTGAAGGAGGGAACGGAGACGTCACGTCCCGTCGCCACAGCTCCTGTACCACCGCTGAGCGGCCGGGTCACCGGCTCGGCTCCTCAGCGAAAACCTGAATATGCGCTGCATCTGCTGCCTACTTATACTCACGCTGTGATCAGCAGCAGCTGGATGCAATAATCGCATGCCAATGTGCATTGGCTCGTTTAGTTTACACTCGAAGTAGATTGGTCCCTCTAAGCGAGATCCCAATTTCGTCGGTCATCCGACGTGACGTCGAGAGTGACCGACTGAAAGGGAACGTCTCGGTTACGTATGGTAACCCTCGTTCCCTGAAGGAGGGAACGGAGACGTCACGTCCCGTCGCCACAGCTCCTGTACCACCGCTGAGCGGCCGGGTCACCGGCTCGGCTCCTCAGCGAAAACCTGAATATGCGCTGCATCTGCTGCCTACTTATACTCACGCTGTGATCAGCAGCAGCTGGATGCAATAATCGCATGCCAATGTGCATTGGCTCGTTTAGTTTACACTCGAAGTAGATTGGTCCCTCTAAGCGAGATCCCAATTTCGTCGGTCATCCGACGTGACGTCGAGAGTGACCGACTGAAAGGGAACGTCTCGGTTACGTATGGTAACCCTCGTTCCCTGAAGGAGGGAACGGAGACGTCACGTCCCGTCGCCACAGCTCCTGTACCACCGCTGAGCGGCCGGGTCACCGGCTCGGCTCCTCAGCGAAAACCTGAATATGCGCTGCATCTGCTGCCTACTTATACTCACGCTGTGATCAGCAGCAGCTGGATGCAATAATCGCATGCCAATGTGCATTGGCTCGTTTAGTTTACACTCGAAGTAGATTGGTCCCTCTAAGCGAGATCCCAATTTCGTCGGTCATCCGACGTGACGTCGAGAGTGACCGACTGAAAGGGAACGTCTCGGTTACGTATGGTAACCCTCGTTCCCTGAAGGAGGGAACGGAGACGTCACGTCCCGTCGCCACAGCTCCTGTACCACCGCTGAGCGGCCGGGTCACCGGCTCGGCTCCTCAGCGAAAACCTGAATATGCGCTGCATCTGCTGCCTACTTATACTCACGCTGTGATCAGCAGCAGCTGGATGCAATAATCGCATGCCAATGTGCATTGGCTCGTTTAGTTTACACTCGAAGTAGATTGGTCCCTCTAAGCGAGATCCCAATTTCGTCGGTCATCCGACGTGACGTCGAGAGTGACCGACTGAAAGGGAACGTCTCGGTTACGTATGGTAACCCTCGTTCCCTGAAGGAGGGAACGGAGACGTCACGTCCCGTCGCCACAGCTCCTGTACCACCGCTGAGCGGCCGGGTCACCGGCTCGGCTCCTCAGCGAAAACCTGAATATGCGCTGCATCTGCTGCCTACTTATACTCACGCTGTGATCAGCAGCAGCTGGATGCAATAATCGCATGCCAATGTGCATTGGCTCGTTTAGTTTACACTCGAAGTAGATTGGTCCCTCTAAGCGAGATCCCAATTTCGTCGGTCATCCGACGTGACGTCGAGAGTGACCGACTGAAAGGGAACTAATATTTATAACTAACTAACTATCCAACCGTTACTTCTTTATTAAATATTATAAAACAGTTAAATGCAACAACAACAATAATAATAATAATAATAATAAATAATAATAATAATAATAATAATAATAATAATATAGTAGTATAATAATAAAGTAATAATGGTTGTGGTGGTATATTTGTTGGTTATTATTATTATTGCTGTTGTTGTGTTATTTATAAATGTGTACATATTTAAAACTTTTTTCTATACCAAAATTATAAAATAATTTACGCATTGTGCAAATGGGGCTCTGAAAACCTTAAAGTCATTAACATTTACTAAACGGATACAATTATAAAGTGAATTGTTTATTTCTGAAATGTTTACTGTTTACTGTATATGCTATCTTTACAGGCCTGTATGTGGTTGTTTAAGAATTGTGTGTTTGCTAGTGCCATATATTGCATAAATAGTATGTTAACTAAATGTAAGTGTTACATCAGCTGTGAAAGCCCAAATCTGTGACATACGACCCAGAGTGACAGACGTGTGCGACAGACTGCCGTATTTATGCCAGTGCCTTTAAATTTCAGTTTCAACCCGTGACAGACTTGAGGGATTTTCACAAACATGATCATCAGACGAATACATTACGGCGGATCAGCCGAGCTGTGTGCGGCACAGCACGGAAAAATCCCCTGCCTCACGAGAGAAGTCATTTCCCCAATATTTGTGAAAATTGGCGAGGATGAAAGGTTCCTTGTTGCCACTTGATATCTGACAAGCGACTACATGAAAGGCCTAATTTCAGTGTTTTGAAAAATTGCACTTGTTGATGTTGTTGCGAAGACAACGCCAGCCGTCCCACACCTGCGGCTCTTTGGAAGTTTTTGCGTCAAAGATGAAGTCCTGTTTCCAAGCGCCTTATTTATTTATTTGCAATTTTCTATTTCCTAAACGTCATTGTGGTTATATGAAATTGCATAAGATGTCTTCAGAGTTCGTGTTTCTTTCAGACCGCACTGAGTCCGTGGATGAGTTTTGACTGGATTGTCTGACTTCCTGGTGTTTTTCCACAGTCGGACACCTTTGATATTTGTGGAGATGGCGTTTTGGTTTTACCGCTCAAGTAGATCTGGAAAGTTCCTTTGTTTCTCTCCTGCTTCCTGTTATAAATAAATAATAGATTTAAATCAATGTGTTAAGATAAGTTAAATATTACACAGTGTGCTCAAAATAAGCTTAGTTAACCAGATTTGGATCTTTTTGGAAGAAAATACGAGTGGTAAAATTTGGAATATAGATGCAAAAGTGTTTGGCCTGGTTGCTAGGGTGATTCTATGCAGTTGCTAAGGTGTTTATTTATTTATTTTTGCATTGTAATATTTTTTATTAGTTTTTTTTTTCTGTGATTTTGGTCTTATTACATAAAATAAAAATAAATAAATATCACATGGTTGTGTATAAAATGCTATAAATATTGTAAATATATTGTAATAAAATGAGAAATACAGACATTAAAAAGAATGTTATATAACTTGTTTTCTATCAAATATAATCAACAAATAGGTTTGTTTATTGGTTGGTTGGTTATTTATTGGTTTATTGGTCTATTATTTTCTCTTCATATGAGATTATTGTATTATTATTTTTATTTACATTTTATTTATTTATTCATTTCTTTATTTGTTTGTTTGTTTATTTGCTTGTTTGCTTGTCTATATTTTTCCCCCACAGATTGTAATATTTATTTATTTATTTAATCATTCATTAATATATAATATATATATATGATATATATATATATATATATATATAAGCTACATAAAATAAGAAAAACCCAAACAAGCAACAATTTTAGTATAACTTAATTTTCTTTGATTCATACTTTTGCTTTTTTTCCCCCCATGAGCCTTATTTTATTTTATTATATGATTTATTATAGTCTAAATTTCATTGCTACATTTAATTTAGTTCATTTATTTATTTATTTTTGTTTTTTTCCCCCACATATGATGATTTTCATAGTGTAGGGCATAAAATGAGAAAAGCCTAAATGAGAGACAATTTTAGTATCATTTAACTTTCTTCATTCATGATGTTGCTTTTTTTTTTAAACAAACTTTAGAGTTTTAAGTGCTATTTAACTTTGATTTTAAGTGCGGCCGTTTGTGAGTCTTGCATTTGCACCCTTCCGCCCTGCTTTGGTCCAGCATCACAGCGTCTTCTTTTATTCAGGGAAACTTTGTTATATTAATGTCCATTTCTGTCAAACACCTGCTAGAGAACTCTCTCGCTCAGACCTGATGACAAAGAAAAAGGGTTCAGGGTGAGAAAAGCAGGGCGTACTTTCAAAAAAAGCAATGCTCTTAGTCTAACAGCCTCTTTAAGCTTATATAAAACATGCTTTCTGAACTCAGATCCAAACTTAGGCCTTTAAAAGCCACCACAAAACTGATCTCAGGTCATTTTATAGGTTACAATCATTCTTATTTTCCCCAGTTGATGCTTTTGCTTTGACAATCTCTTCAATGCTTGTGCTTCACTGTACCTGAGGAACTAAATGGACTTCATAAATTTCATCATCAGGGTTTATAGGTTTTGTCGCTGTTGGAAAAGGACGTAAAAGTGTCTTTTCAGTTGATGGTGAAGCATCTCAGTGCCAGCTGGGGTTTATTTATTTATTTCAACAACAAAAATAGCTTTGAAATAAATCTTTACAAATAGCATGAATGGTTAGGCGTCTTATAGAAATCTATATGAATGCACAAACTGCTTCAGATACAAACCAAATGAATATCTTCTTAAAATTACAGGATATATTCATGTGAAAATGACATGTGAACTATTTCGTTTAAATATATAATTGTAGATTAAATTCATATTTATTTCAAAAACATTAAAATGCATCAAAATTGTCCTTGTGTAGGAATATGCAAGGTTGCAGGTAAGATATAGTTCAATAAATTCAAATGCGTTCACAAGTCATGCAATTATATGTTCAAAAACGTTCTCTGAATAAGGTGCAAATTAGTGTCCTGTTACTTTTTTTGAAAGCAGCAGGAGCCCAAACCGCATGTTTTTTGAAGTGAGAACTATTGCGTATATTAAACTCTTATTTTACATCAAATTAACAGCATGACAACTTGTCAAACAAATCAAATGTCCATAAAACTGCAACAACCAATAAACAGTTTCATTTGAATAATGTATGTAACAACTCAATCAGTTTTTACATGTGTTGTGTTGTTAAAATATAATAAATAGTCAAATCATTTGTTTGCAGGGTCATTGGCTTGCCGCCCAGATGAGTTTGTTTGCAACAACACGCTGTGTAAACTGCTGGTCTGGCTGTGTGATGGTGAGGATGACTGCGGAGACAACTCTGATGAAGATTCAAGCATGTGTGGTACGTTTATGACTAGTGGTTCTTTCCCACTAAAGTCAGACTGTATAAAAAATGTTTATTTTGTTTATTGTTTGTTTGTTTATGTGGTTTGATGTTTAGTTTGGTTTGTTATTTTTATGTGTGTCTGTGGGTCACAGATTCTGTCGATGGTGCGTGTCGAGGACGGGCCGACTTGTGCGGAGATGACGCTTTCTGCAACCATACGAAAACACCTTCAGTCTGTCAATGCAAAGATGGATTTCAGAGAAACCAGAAGACCAAGCAATGTGAAGGTAGAGAATTTGTACAAAAAAACACCAAGACGACAATTTCCAGTCTTCAGATATTCAGAATTTTTGTCATCATTCATTAAGAATGAACATACATTCACATTTTATGTTGTATTATTATTATTTTTTAATTAATAATGGTAATAACAACAATAATACATTAATAGTAATCATCGTTGTTATTATTATTATTATCATGATTATTAAAAGTTACAATTATTACAAAATGTAACAATTATTGATACATCAGTAAAAAATTTTAGTTTATAAATATTGCATATTAATAAGATTTTATTATTTATCTTAAATTATTAAATAATTTTATAATTGTTATGTAATAAAAATGTAATATTATGATTACTTGATTGTTGCATTAGTATCTAAATAACATTGCATATTAATAAAAAATATTAATCAAATTTAATTAATAACTTTTGTATTTTAATTGCTGATGTAGATAGATTTTAGATTTAGAAATGTTTATATTACATACACACTCACACACACATAATATAAAATGCATATAAATATGTATATTAATAAAAACAGTCAAACGTTTATTTATAAAA